GTTTTGTACAATTTGTTGAAAAATATTTACAAAAAAAAAAAAAAAGTGGGGGGGGGGGGAACACATGCCACCACCACCCCAAAAAAAAACCCATCCAACCAAACAAAAAATTTTCCTTTTTAACTTGCACCTCTTCTAGATGCTTTCCAGGTGTGGGAGAACTACCACATGCACGCACTCCATGTGGTTTGAAATACAGAACTTACTGCAATCTATAACCATATTTACAGATATATAGATATGTATATATATCATGTATTTATGTATACACAATATGAGAAACTATTTTTACTGTACTCAAAGTTTCCAATGCCAGAAGTCTACTAAACATAAAAGATACCCAAGTCAGAATATGCCCCAGCCTACAAGAACTGCTTGCAGTTTGCTCCCCACACCAGGTGGCACTAGAGAGCTTTAGATAAAGCCCTTCAAGGCCAGCATTCCCAAGCAGATCTGGGATTCATCTTTTCCCTGGTCTTTTTATAATACTCTTGCATCTTCTCTGCTCTTCCTCCTGAAGGAATTTAAGAAGCTTCTAAGTGTTACATGTAACATACACCAAAGAAATTATGTATATGCACTAAGTATGGCAGGGACAAAGCAGAAGTTGATGAATTTTCATATACTATTATCAACTTACAAAACCATTCCCAAATGAACTTTAAATCTCCCCTCAACAGCTTGTGGGCAGAATCTTTTGAGGCACTTTGGAAAAGAACAGCTAACAGTTTCTTAAAGGACACTGCAGTGCAAAGTATATAGCATTGTTACAGAATAATTTTCAGGCTTTGAGTAAAATCATTCATAAGCTATAAATATCATATAGCTGAAATCCCAGTCTTCAAAATATGAAGCATTGTACCCTTTTGCTATTAGCCTGCAGCAATGTTTGTACAATACAGACACTTACCTTTGAGTTTTCTTTCACTGTTGTCAAGGTTCAAAAACTTTCTCTCTCTCTCCGAGTCCTCATTTCTCAGGCGGTTTAAAATCTCCTCCAGTGTTTTGACAGCATCAGCAAATGAAGGACGCAAGTTTGGATCCATCTGTGCACGCACACGAATCAAATAAGTTCATGTGGGTTTGTCCATGCTATTCTACTTACACAGTGGACAGACAGAGGGACAATCTGAACTGAGGAAATTCAAGACCATTTTAAGAAGTGTGTTGTCATTGCAAAAAACCTAAGTAAAGCAGGGGAAAAGTAGTATTCTGTCCCAGTTTATGTCTATTATACCGCTCACATGTAATTACCAAGTTGTAAACATTCTATGATGAGGACGCATTCTAAATTGAAAAGGTGGGAAGCTGTTAGATTGAGGGTGTGACAGAGGGTTTTGTTTGTTTGAAACAGCTTTCATAGTTCAAGGATTTCTTTCTGGACTCCAGTTAAAAGTCAGAGATTATATATCAATGTAATTTCAAAACGTGCCTGAAGCAATAAGGATTAAACAGAGCAACTTGTCTATGACATTCTTTAAAAGTTTATAATTCTTCCATCATCTCTTTGTGGCTTTAATTGAAACCCACCTAAATGGCATTGCTGATTTTAAAGTTTAAACTGTTGTATCTTTGCATCTGTTAATTAGCTTTACTACTTGGTGTACTGGTCTGTCCTGTGAGGAAGCAAGATTGATTATATACTTTGACAAAGTAATACAACAGAAAAAAATCCATCTTCGCCCAAGTAAAATACCCTCCCAGTCATCAGTATGTATTCAGTTTGTATTTATCAGTATGTATTTATTTATTCACCCTAGTAGAAATGGATCTTTAAACAAAGTTCAACCCTAAAATTGTACTAGAAGGCAAGCAGCTTAATTTAAGTAGTAACTTCAAACGCCTTTCATCATTTTGAACATTGATCCTGTATATATGTTACAGGTTTAACTACTGTAGGTAGCAATGTCTAATTCAGCAGCTGAAAGTTAACCTCATTACACTATTAAAAAAGATTCCACTTGACCTGATCCCTGTTTCCAGCCCTCTAAAGGCTTTTTCAGAGCAGGCAAGCCCAGACAGATCTCACCTCTAGTACAAAGGGAACAGTGGTGCTTTGTAAACAACAAACCCTAAAGACATCCCTGATACTGCCTTGCAGGTCCTACGAGATGGATCTTTCTGGAGAGAATTGGTATGATCAGCAATGCCAGAACACCTTCTGGCAACACAGGGTAAAGGGCTAAAAATTCATACGTACAGTAATAAAAAACAAACAAATGACACTCAAAGAGCTCAAGAGCAGCAAGAAAGTTGTTCTAATGCAGCAGCTGGAATTTCCTGGCATAGGAAAACGTCTTTTTCTGCTTTCCCTATTTCACTGAAAGAGCAGGGCAGGGGCAACACCAAAGCACACACTCTGTACTCTGACAAACTTACTAATTTGGGAAGCTTAGAGAGCTGTTGCAAGCTACAGAAAGTAAGAGCAGCTCCCTGGCTATTTTAATTTGTGCTAGGTAAGATCCAGGACAAGAGTAGCAATAGAAAAGTAACTCAGAGCAACATTTGCCTCTTCCATCCCCGAGCAGTCCAGATTCTGCTCAAATGGAATAGAAGGTTCTTCCTCAAGGCAGCAGTTGCCCACAGCTCATCTCGTGCTGGTTAGCTTTTAGCGTGATCATACATGATTACATTTATAAACATTCGCACCGGTAGGCTTATAGTTGTTGGAGAGCCATAAGTTTTAGACTTCCTTGCACGTACTTATTTAAAAAAACATTTTATAACAGCAAATTAAATAAATTTTAATCCACCACTCATGCATGTCAGTTTTTACTGGTTTTCTTAGGTTGCCCTAAAACACGTTTCCTGGCTGTAGAAAACCCCAGGGCTTTGCACGTTAGTTCAGCTAATCAGCTGAGCTATACAGTCTACACTGATTGTTGACCTATTAAATAATAAAAAGCTATATAAATGTCTATGTCTAAGAGCAAATTATTACACAGATCAGCTAGTACTGAAGCACAGCATGCTTAGGAAGATAGAAGAAAGCCTTATCTGTTCACCACTTTTTTCCTTCTACTAGGTAAGTGGTAAGTGAATTACAGCATGCCCCACACCGAAATCAGCATATTAATAGCTTGATCACAAGACAGTAATTTCCACTTTCAATTCAGGGAAGGGACGTTTAATATAAAGGAAGCAGCATTTGATGATAATCAGTAGGAGAAAATCCTTTTTCTCTGAACACACCAAATTCTTACATGAGAATATAAGATCAGTCACTTCCCCTTTCTTCATGAGTACAGTTTTACTCTGAATTTCACCTGTGCTGAAAAATTGGTTTGAATCATGCACCACGTGTTTGGAGGCAGTATGACTTCTGGAGTCTACAGGTGGGAGCCAAGGTTTCCAAAGTCAAATCCTACCTCTAGCCAAACCCTTTAGTGCTTATGTAGTCAAAACACTTCATAAACATGAGTCAGACGTACCACTGTCCTGGTGATGCAAGCTCCACTGTGAAGTAGCTTGTCCAGAGTAAGTTCCACAAACATTTTTAGAATTTACGCTATCTTGTGTCAAGAGCAGCAGTCACCCCCACCTGCTCACATCCTCACCTTTGTACTGTTCTCCCCTTGAATGAGCATCTGCATTTGTACTATACAAAGTAAAGAGAGTGCTTGGGGCAAAAATAAGCATCAAGAGCATGGAGCAATGAGACTGCTTCTTTCAGCAGCAGTGTTGACATGAAAACAAAGCCTGAAAAATCAGTAACAGACAGGAATAAAAAGCCTGTTCTGAGACTTTTCTTACGAACACTCATTGGACACAGTGCTGGTATTGGCTCCAGCACAGCCTGGTTGTGGGGTCCCGGGCAAAGTTTTGTGCAATGAAATTTTTAGAACTTGCCTCAACTTAAGTTCTGCAAACTGGACATTCCCAACTTCAGCTGAATTTGGTGGAAGCTCAGGTCCTCTTACTTCATATAAACCAGTTTGCTATACAAAGGTACTAGCGACCTCTGTTACGGGATAACCCACAAAAGAGATCTACTTGCTTGGAATTTTCACACTGAGGAGCCATGAAGGTATCCAGCACTAACTATCACACTTTTACTTGAATAACTGGCAGAAAATTTACTCCACACAGTGCGTTGTCTATAGCTTTACTGATATTAAATCATTTGGGTCCAAGTTTGTTTTTTTGGAACACAGGCTAGGGATTTGGAGGTTTATCCTGCTTTCCAAAAGGCAGCATATAGAAACTGCAGAGTAGTTTAGTGCCTGCTCTTGATTTGTTTGTGAGATCTGTTTGTGAGAACAACTCAGAATTCTTTCTTCACAGCTCAGTAGGTCTGTACACAATAACAGCTGGATTTTGTCAGCCCGAGGGCCAGCCAGTGTCAATAGCATACAACTGGTTATGATCAGCCTAAGCAGCCTGCAAGAAGCTGTTCAGTGCGCCAGACCTGTTTGTTTGGCATGACGGAACACAGAATTGCAAAAACACAAGATAGACCTTTTTGCAAGGGGAAGGGAAGGGTTATAAAACCTGCAAGGGACTTTCTGGGTTATCAGAATGTACGCTGCTTTTATAGGTAGGCTCTTCAAGTCTCTTCTGTAAATGCTTTAAGCTCTATCTTCAAAAGCCAGAGGTATTTAGAGAACTCCAGTTTAGGCCTCTCCCCTTAAATAAGATACTCACATTACAGCAGTTGAAGGCCAGCTGGAGGAAGTCGGGGGGACAGTCTCCCACCATGTGCTGGAAGGCATCATAATCTAATCCAAAATTCTGTACAAACAAAAACACAGCATAGAGATAGAAATGAGGTCTGCTATCTAGCCCCAAGCATCTTCTTTTCAGGGGGTCCCTACATGGAGTTATCAGGAATAACCATGAACACCATCTCTCAGCAGTCACATACAGAGGATTTTGAGAAAAACTTCATGCACACTCCTAACTGCAGCATTCCCAATGGGATTACTTGATACAAGATACCTGTAAGAGAATGAGCTGACTTCAAAGCCCATCCTTCTTCCTGGACTCAACTGCAATCCACTGCACTTGAAAAGTTGCCCGTGTGGATCTGGAAGCAACATCTTACACTATAATGTTTCACCATGGTGACTTTCACAGTGTAAATTAACAGCCTTCTATAAAACCAGAGGCTTCGCTGTGATGAAAATTTATCAATTAAAATGGTTAATTTTTCAGTGGACGGTAGACTGGTAATACAAATTATCTAGTTCCTTAAATGCACGTCTACAAAATCTGAAGGGCAGAGAAACAAAGGGATCTCTTATTTACTGCAGTTCAAGACCTAAGCAATTTTGCATTTTCAGAACCGGAGTGGGATAGACAATTTGGAAGACGCCCCATAGAGGGCCAAAAGCTGCCCTGCAGATGGGACTCAACCAAAAGGCAAGTGAAGAAAGTACAAAGTACCTCGTTTGACTAGTCAATTCTAGCTCAGATCCACAGTGCTTAGCACAGTCTATGCAAAAATAAGGGTGAGCTTATTTTAGCTGCTGCTAACATAGCTCCTGCCCCTTTCACAAGGAGGGGCTGCTTAGCGGATGCAGTGTGCCAAAAGTGCTCTGTTCTGAATCTGGCAAGAAGTCTACATGAGCTGTCACTCTACAAAAGGAAGGTCAGTGCAATGCTCTCAATGTTCTGCCAGTTAAGGGCAGAAAGGATTTCCCCATGAGGATTGCAGCTGGTCAAAGTTTGTGTGAAAGTGTCTTCGATGGAGCTTCTTACAATAACAGCACAGAAGAACAAAAGCCTTTTACAGGCTATTTTTAATGTAACACCTATTCATCCTATCTTTGGCAGCAGTGCCAGAACTTCTAAAGGCCAGCCATTATCATGGCATACTTACCACCTCCCACCAATATTATAAACATAACCACTTACCTCTGTGCGAGGGAGATAGTCTGGATCTGCCTGTATTCTTGCTATAATCTCACACAGAATTATACCATAGGAGAACACATCCGCCTGAGAGAGAAAAAAAATAAATAGCCACATGGTTCAGCTATGAATACTGAGCGTTATCTGCCACCGAGTTCCTCCTTATCCCAAATGGTTATCGTGAAACAACTAAACCAACACCACAGCCTTACAACACTAAGCAACTGCATTATAGCTAACATTTTCCATGTGAAGAAACACATGCTCACAGTAAAGCATTCTTGTTGCACAAGTATCAATGATAACTTTAAAACTCTTTCAAGAAAAAAAAGAAAAAAAACTACCAAACCACTCTTAATTCAGCAATGTAAAAAAAAAAAAAAATCCTTCCTTGCATAAAGAATGGTGAAGTTGCATTTGATGTCTTACAGATGGGAATAATTAAAAACATAGCCAAAAACGTGACATGCCTATATAATCACTGTGGTTAGAAAGACGGGTTTAGATACACATGATCACAGCTTATCCAGAACATTAATGCTGTTTTTAAGAAGAATTAAATTTTTCTCTTCTCACAGTTCAGTACCTCTGGAGAAAACAGTGTCTCTCCCAAAGCTTGAGGTATCTAGTAACACTGTATTACCAGCATCAATTTCCACTGAAATTTCCATGACGCTTAGTAATCACTTATCTGACTACCCCTGGAGCTGCACAGTTGCTCCGATTTCCACCCACCTGAATTTATCATGTAATAAAATTTAGGAAACATGGAACACAAGTCTACAGAGCAGAAGCCAGCATCCCTCAACTCTTAGGTATCTGGCAGGCTTATATGTCACCTTTCACACTGATGAGGTATGAGACCTGCTTCCTCTTTAGTCCTCCATGCCCTAGGGTTAGTGAAATATGTGGCACCATAGATTTGGGTACTTTATTATTAATTTAGGTCAATTGGAACTCTTAACAAAGCTTTGAAATGGTAATTATTACATTCATTACTGAGGTAGCTACTGCTTTCCTGAAAGTTAAAAGTACCACCAATTAAACAGACTATTGACTGCTAGCTATAAAAAGGTACAGGATGTGGGCTTTATCACAGAAAGCTGCACTTGCAGGGCTGAAGTAGACTATGTTACACATGGGAGAGAAAACCCTGGGGAAAGAAGAGCTTGACTAAAAATACTATTTCTGAAATCCAGTGTGATCTGATCCTCCTCTGAAAGAAACATTTCCCAATGCCACAAATAGGAAAACTTAGAAATACCCTTGGAGAACATTTTTATCCAGGTATCTTACCTTGAGAAATGTTGATTGTTGATTTTTATTTTTTTTTTTTTTTTTTTTTTAATTAGAATACTTGTACAAGTTTACATACAGACCTTTTACTTCTACCCGGATTTCACTAAGGTATGGTCAGGGAAGTAACCTCACTACATTTCTCATGAGACTTGGTTAAATTAAGTTGTATTAGGTCAACAAGCCATTATCGTATTTCTGCATGTGGGGTGTTTCAGAATGGAAATAGCACAACAGTGAATTATGCTAAAGGTAATTCTATTTCTGTAAAAGAATGCTCACCATGAATTAAAAATTTTAGTTATTCAACTCACACTCTCCCTTAGTCTGAATGACCTACTGAGTACAGAAATGTCACAAATGAAAATAACAATAATTTTAATATTATGGAAATTCTAAATCTTGTATACAGCTATTGAAGAGAAATGTCTAACAACTAAAGTCCATTTATATCATGTACCTACCTTTTCATTGTAAGGTTCATCTCTGAGAACTTCTGGTGCCATCCAGAAGGGTGAACCCACCACTGGTAACTTCTCACTATATGGATATGGAATAGATGGCCCAGAAGGGTCCCCACCACTGGTAACTTCTCACTATATGGATATGGAATAGATGGCAGAAAAGGGGGGAGAGAGAAGAACCATTAATTAAATACTCTGATTCAGGCATTGCTACTGACTTTCCGTAACTCCCAAGTATCTGCAGAAACTTTCACCAGAGGGCAGTCAATTCAAGTTGGTTTCATAACATACTGTATTTTACACTGGTTTCCTACTGGAGTCACTAGAACATTCAATAGCAGGAGGAGAAAGTAAAAGAAAAAGAAAGCTTCAATCAGTTACTCATATTTTACTTCCAGTTTCTAAGTGCCTGGCCACTTTAAAAAAAAAAAAAATTATTTGAAGGTCACAGGTGTTCAACAGTTTTGGTATCCAAACTCTTGGCAGAGTGGGCTCCTTCATCTATACATAAAATGGTTTGTGGACATCAGTTTTGGGCTAGATGTCAAGTTCTCCATTCATGCAGCAAGACATGCAGGTATCCATCCCTACATGTATACCGATAAGCAGCTCTGAAAGTATTCAGCACAGCCTGCTTGCAAACTGGTTGTTTGGTTTTTTTTTAAAAAAAAAAGGTCAAGATTGACTAGATGAATCCTTTAATAGGGAAAAATTAAGAGTACTCAGAATAGAGCTGATTTGAAAACTTTGCCATGTTTCCATATGGCTGAATACTGGGGCCTTAAAACAGGCCTCCAGCTTGCCACACAGCTGACCTTGAAGGAATACCTACTAAAAAAAAAAAGGCCTCTGAAGGCCTCAAATAGCACGGCTTGCTAGCCAGCAAACTGGAAGCAACAAAACTGCATTTGAAAACAGAGGTAAGACTAGATCAAACCAAAATGGCAGCTAATGTAACAATTTTATTATGTTGTTTGTTTTAGTATCAAACTACCTTAACTTTAGCTGTTATTATACTCTCAGTTTTCAGGGCATCTCAAAACTGGGTATTAAGAACACCTTAAGGCACCTGTGGTGCCTTCCTGATTTTGTGATGGCTTCATATGAATACAGCTGAAGCTTTCAGCACCTTAAAGGGCAGAGATTCCACAGGAGCGTACAAGATACACATTGGCTGTACTTATCAGTAGTTTGGAAATTAAAATGTTCACTTTGTTAAGCTTTTAGATCAATATTTCGTCAACATTAATGCAAGCCTTCAGACCTCCCAAGACATGGTGTTAGGATACGTGTAGTTTAAAAACAGTGCATAGCTGAGATCAACTTTTATTGTTTTCTTTGCAGTCAAAAGAACTGGAAGGCTTTTATTTATTTTATGCAGAAGCACACACTGGAGAAAATCTGACAGCACATTTCACAGTCAGAATACTCTGAAATACACAAGTCAATATACAGAGAGAACAATGAAATCCTTGTCCTTGATCTCCCTAACGGAGGGATGACAAAAGGACTATTTCCAATTGTGACAATAGCTTGTGACAGTCACCTGTGCATTCCTCAAATGAGTTAAGATTATAATTTCACCCTAGGGAGAACAAAGTGGTGAGCTACTGTTAGACAGTAATTTTAATATCTCTTTGTTATAAACCTGAATCTTAACAACTAACCCAGAGGTTAAAGAGAATAATACTGGAATGCCACTGAATATTGTTTATGAAAATGGAAAGAAGCTAATTAAAGTTGTTTGGAATCAACAAAGGACATTTATTATAAAATCATCCCAATCCAGAATGCTGGACAGTATTTTTGTGTTTGTTGTTTTGTTTGGGTTTTTTAAAACCAAAATTCCCAAGTACCTGCTTAGAAGATCTACTGAAAAGCTTGAGTAAATCCTCTACTCACTGGAGCATTTTTGAAGAATAAGTGTCACCAATAAATCTATCAAAATGGACAGTAATTAAGGCTGGAACATTTTTGTCAACCAGTCTGCAGTTCTAGGCTGAAGAATGAAGATATTTTTTGCAAATTTTGTATCAGAATGCAATAATGGCCTCAGGGATCCAGCTCATTAGAGCTTCTGACCTGCAATCGCACTGCAACTCTCACTGTATTTTGATTAGTTCACGTACCTGTGATCAGGAATTTTCTCTGCTAAACCAAAGTCTCCCACTATTGCTGAGTATCCGTTGTCATCATGTTTTATTAAGCAGTTCTGGGGGAAAAAAAAAACAACAGAAGAGTTATTGTCTGGGCATGAAACCCATATACCGTTTGTTTTATTTATTTTTTAACCTGGAACAAGACTACAAGATGTTGTTTGGAAGACATTAATTTATGTTGCTTTTGTCTGAAAGCAACCACCCTTTTCCCCTACCCTCCCCCCTGCACAATCACATGTCTGTCAAACTTAAGATGCTGCAAACAGCCTTACACTTAGTTAATAATCCACTTAAAAACTTGCTGAGAAAGCAGGCAGCCACAGGCAGCACGTACCCAGCTAGGTTCCAGCAAGAATTAAGATGATTTAGCTCCCTTACTGCTCAAGTATGCAATACATGCTGTTCACTATGACACCTTAAATTTTCTCTTTACAATTTGCCTATACCTGACCAGAATACGATCATAGCAGACTCTAAATACCTTTGTATATTTTGCTACATTAACTACTGAAAAGGAACTCACTGCTTTGCAGTAGATTTTCATCAGAAAATACAAGATGTGACGAAGTCATACGTGCTTTTAAAGTCTCAAATAAAATTCTTTATTCTACAGTACATCATAAAACATGATTTAAGGGAAAAGTCTAATAGAGAAAAGCTGTCGATCTTTTCCTTTCAGATGTGCCCTCCAGCGTCAGGAGGGAGGGCAATTTAAGGGGGACACAGATAATTCTGGTCTGGCAGCATCACGTCACACGCAGGGTATTATCGATTTAATTTTGTTATTTATTTACAACTCTGAAAAACATGCTTTGACCATTCTAGTACCACATCTTTCCCTTCTCACCGAATGAATCAATAGCCGACTTCCCTAAGTTTTTTTCTACCCTGCAATAGGTGGAGCAAGACAGAGAATTCATTCCCTTACCACATGCCTTGCTCTGTGTCCTTCTGCAGGCAGTACAATAGCAGTGACAGGCAGCAAAACCACTGCCGACTCCTACAGAGTGGTACCCTGCATTAATTAGCTAAACAGCAGGAAACACTTTCTAGCTTTATTGTCCTTGGATGTACAAAAGCCCCTCGCTGACCCCTGAGCATTAGCTTGTCTGTATAATGCAACTACGAAGAAAAGTGAGTCCCTTGTCTAAAAGATCAAGTTCAGGTCATCACTGTTTACATTATTCAGAGATGATTGTGGCTCAGGCCGTGAAGCGAGTTTTCTTCCTGCCAATTAAAAGGTTAAGCAAGCCACTCCTGCGATCATGTAAAGAAAATGCATGCCACTCTCCTGAAACACATGCCGGGCTCCTGAGATGCAAAGTTCTATTTGTTTAGCATGACTCAAATATAATAAGTACAGTTAGTTTGGGGATTCATAAACATGTACCAAGTTAAATCAACCATGCTTGCCCAAAGAGCCGCAAAGCTGCTCAGTTACGGGCTTTGTTATCTTTTATCAAAGAGCACATTCATTCAGCTTGCCTCTGTTTAAACATTTGGTCACTCTAAGTGGACTTAAAAACTGAGAAGAATAAAACTTTTCTGAAAAATCTTACTCAAATGATTCAGACAAGTGGAATTTCATTGTGTACCACACAGAAACAAGCCTATGAGGACACCAGAGATTTTGCAGTGTACAAGAATGCTGATACTAGTTTATGCAGCAAAATAGCAGGTTATTTTCTGCCATAGATTTCTCAGAAATTAAAGATGATTTGTAATTCACCACTCAAAAAAACTCACAAAACCTCTATGATTCATAAAAGAACTAGTTTTAAGATTTAAATTCCGTTCTTGCATTACCTTTGACTTTACATTTTGTCTTTACATTACTTTACATTTTGTTCATTTTGAGTAGCAAGACTGCAGTAGTTCATTTTACCTTCTGGGTTTGGTGGATTAGGATTATTCTCCAATAATCCCCGGTCTCCAAAATTTTAGGGCAACATTTAAATCCAGACTGAGAACTATTTTCAACATAACTAAAAATCTGTAGAAACATTTCTACTGACCTTAAGATCTGCAATAATTTACAGGGCTGCTTTGATACCAAAAGGAGGCTTAAATGCAACATCATCCTGACAGCAAATTTTCCTTCAGCTTCTTACCAGTATACAATCACATCCCATTAGACAGCAATACATCACCAACTGAAGATGAACAATTTTGCCTCCCACCAAGCCCCAGGCAGTCTCAGCTCTCAGGTACAGCACTGAACTATTATACAAGTAGATTATTCCTAGATAAATCATAAAATAAACCAATAGCGCATCCAATCTAGTGCCAAGTAATGCTACCCGACAGCTCTGAGCTCCTTCCTGGATGAGCAGGAGCTGCCTGCAGCAAAGCTAGGCTCCTTTTCAGCACAGGCCTTTTGAGAAACCAAACAGAGCGGACACCCCACCGCTGTGGGATCCAGAGGTCCTGCAGGAGAGGCCAGTACACCATGACAAGGCAATGGGGGAAAGCCTAGGGCTACATTTCTGCTATAAAGTACTGATCGATTGTTCTGCTGTGGTGGGCTGCACAGTGTTAAATGACATAAAGAAGGAAGTTAAACTATTCTCTCTCATTAGTGGAAGCTTGTCTTTTGTCTGCATATGAAGAAGTGCTGAGTGTGAATTTAAATTCATTAGGATACGTATTCCCATACAAAAGTGACTTTTTTATTCACACTTAAATCAGCCATGGGCAGGTGACATGCACTAGACAAAAAAAAGTCAGTGTCACTACAAATGCTCACTGTAGTGAAACTATACTGATTTAATTCAACTGGTGCAAATTTTTATGTAGCTAAGCACCAATTTCCTGGAACCCAGAAAGGATGGAAGCCTATTCCTAACAAAATCAGTAGTAAAACCCTTCTGCGGATACTAGTGTGGTCAGATATCACCTTTCAAGCCTGTACTCCTCATTCAGGACAAAGTTTTGCAGATGGCAATGCTTCATTCTGTGCTGAGATTCTCCAAGTGTTCAAGGCCAACCCTCAGCACCACCATCCTCCTTCTCCTCCACCCTTCCCACCGTAGTAAAGCCATTACACAACACTGCACCAAATCCACAGCACAGATAGTTCAGTTACCAGATTTAAGATGCAATTCATAAAAAGGTGACTTAACACAGCCCAGAGTAACTGGTAGTTCACGTGCACTCAATGAAAGACATTTCTAAGCATTCACATTCTACTGCCAAGATAAATCAGGATCAAAAAAGGAACAAAGCTTCGTTAGAGACTAAAAGGTTGAAAAGAGCTTTTAAATTTAAGCTAGAGGTGGTATCTTAGTAGGAAAAGTACAATAGAGCACACTGCACTGTTTCTACTGACAAAGTGATACTTCTCAGTTTCTACAAAAAAGAAAATATGTGTATCAATTTGGTATGAAGAAGTTTCATTAATGGATTTTGGCACAGAGACGCAAAAGTTCAAACCCCTCTCTAGCACAAAGAGCCTCTCTAGAACTGCCTATGAGATGAAATGCCAAGCGGCTTTACAACACGGGCTTTAAGAAAACACTTTCGACTTACTATTGCACTATTTGTATAAGCTGCAAGACAATAAAACATGACAACCTTCCCAAGCTTTCTCTTTGGACCTCTACAGACAGGGATGTTCTTTCCTTTGACAGCTCACATGGTCAAAGAGGGCAGTATTTGACTTCAGTTGGGTTCTTGAGTGTTTTTTCCCCCCCCCGAAATGGGGACCCCATCAGTCCTTCCCGAGGCAGTCTCTTAATAGAAGCAAGGAGCTCTGTACATGAGCCCTAAAGAGTTAACAGAGCTGTTTATGCAGAGACAGATGTGAAAGAACATAAAGCCCCCTTTGTGTGTTACAGGAGCTTAACATCTGCTTTGCACAGCATAATCCTACTAAGACGAATGCAATATTCTATTCTCCCTTTTACACAAACAAAAACAAAAATAGACTCAAGAGTTTCAGAGTTAAAAATAAGTTGCTTAGATGAAGAAACCCCATCGTTTTATTTTACAATATGACATACAAGCTAAACTCCTCAGAGATTTTATTGCACTCCAGAAAATACAGGAACGCTACTGCAGTGTCAGTTGCAACCCTCTGATGAGTGTTACTGAATTAAAATACTTAAAAGGCCAATTGAGATGTATCAGCTGTTTTTTAAGTGCTATCCCCTAGGAGAAACACCACTGACAATTAAATGTACAACAGGAAGTTTACCATACTAGATACACTTTTGAAACTAAAACCATTACGTTTAAGGGACAGGCTCCATTTGGGTCCCAAAGTACCAGTAAAAGTTTAGTATCGCGAGCTAATTTTTTCACTGCAAGCCCTCGCCTGCAGTGCAAAATATCCAGGCGAGAGCTTACTCTACCACAAAGGGGACCTTACAACCGCAGCAGCAAGTATGAGACTCATCAGACAAAGGTTCTGTTCATTGCTTGGGTTTTATTTTGTTTTATTTTGTGTTAAACAAGCAAACAGTATACAAGGTAGGAAGTCAGGGTATGTCACTTTCAAGCCCAAAGGCAGTGAATTTGTTACATCAAATAATCCACAGTAATTGCTTACATGCATGATTCTGTCCCACAGTAACTGAGACTATTCCTCTCTCAATGAAAGAAGGGTGAGCCATTACACATTTACTGTGAAGTGAAAGCAGATGTTGGCAGGAATACACACACGTACGCGCATGTGTGTGTGTATATATATGCCTAGAGATTAGAATTTCTTCATAGATTTTATCATCAATGGAGCTCACAATGTTCCCTAAAACTGCTCACAATCTACTATTGATTACAAGACTTTGTTTTCAATTGTACATAATTCTGCAAAACTAAAAGGCATTTGTTTGGGGGTTTGCCTGCTTGTTTTTAATCAAGAGCTTTGGTAGTGTTTTTTTGGGGAGGGGGGTGTTCAGCTAAGACAGCTCAGCTGCTTGGGAGAACAACCTTAGAACATGTGTTGCGAGTAAATTGTGAAATAATGAAAATAAATCCTCAAAAATATTAGCCTATGGTATCATACCAGATTTGGCACATTCTCAACTTGAAATGTGACAAGACCTCTGTGTAA